ATGCTAATCTGCTGAAGTTTGTGTCAGGGAAAGCAATGCATGGAAACATACGTCATAACGGTTGTAGGGCTGACTCGCCTGACCTCCTTTTGTCATCAAAGATAATGCCATATGGGGTAATGGAGAGGCTCTGTGTTTCGGTGTGCGTGTGTGTGTAAGGGGGGGGGTTTAGGTTGGGCCAGTCCTCAATAGCGGTTTTCACAGGCCAACTATTCATTTCCTAAACCACCCACGTTCCGGATATCTTCTACTTTTTATCTTTCCCACCCCCCCCCTCACTCTTCTCTGACCTTTGTTGAATGGAGGAATGTGAGGAATGCAGCAGTAAATGGTGGAGGCAGCATGCAAATGATTGACGGATGCAGGGTTTTTTCTAATGCAATGTGAGATCACATACAATTCCTAACGTTTGTCTGCTATTTTTGGCACACACAAAATAACCCGTCTAAACATGAAAGCCTGGCACTAAAACTTTCAGCAAGGGCATGAAAAGACACATTACGGCAATTGGCCCATGGAGGCTTTGACCTGGATTGTCTATTTTTAGGGATTAAACAGTGACACAGACTAAACTGCCAACAATTTAATCACATTACGCAGGAATTTAGCATGGCAGCCATACAATAGCCAGATCTCCATAGATAATAATTGAAGCGTGTAATCAAAGCAAAGATTGAAGCAACCAGCGTGTCAGTGCTTCCTGTGGAATTTCTTGATTCGGTCGGAGTTTGCTGTTCTGTCTGAGAACCCGACAGGACTCTGATCTCATTCTGAGTACTTTTCCAAAGGTTTTTTATTATCATCATATGTGGAAAGTTAAGTTATGCAGCAGTTACTTTTTCCAATGAGGAAAGAGGTTTATGTTTTCACCCCCGGTCTGCTTGCTACTACGTAAAATCAATGAGTTATAGATTTGTCATCTTTGGACCCGCTGGCCGATGATGGACGGACAAAATAACCAACATGTCTCATGTCCAGTCGACTGGAACAACATGTGGCAGGATGGATGCTGCTGCAAAGGTGCTTCATCACATCAGACTATATAATTCCTTGAGAACAGGGAACAAACTAATCATGGCTTATGAGGAACTGATTGTAATGAATTTTTCCATTTAACCTTTTTGTTGATGAATTGAGCCCTTACTAGATGATTAAGAGGAGCAGTGAGTCATCAGTTAGTGACGGTACAAAACAGTCCAAAAACCAGGTGATTAAACAAATATAAGGCTGATTCAGTATCAAGTATGACTATGTCAGTGTTCATGTTTTGTTTGAATTCAGTATTAAAAATAACATTTAAGGTGAGAGAAGTAAAGATTGAGTTTGAACCTTGCATCTGTGGAACCTCTTAACGTCTGCTGATTGGTTGATAATTCTATTTGACATAATAAACCGGCATGTGCACCAGCAAATTACCAAAAATTGTCAGGCAGAAGTGACAGCGCCAAATTGTGTGTCGTACAGAAAGCAGTCCTCCTGAATTCGTGTGGACAATGAAGCTACCAGTGTCTGCAGCTTCTCTTCTTTTAGAATTACCCCAAAAGTCTCAGAATGTCCTACAACACCTACAGAACATCACAAATTAGCTGAAAGGCTTGTTTCTAACCTGTTAAGCCCCAAGCCTGTTTTTCAGGTCTCAGGCTCGAAAATGACCTTTCCACAACAAATGACAATAACTTCACTTCTAAAAGGGGTACATTAATAATCTTAATAATAACTAACTAACTAATAATAATTTTCTCAAATTAATGATAAACCTGTGAGTTGGATGTAGAAAAGTCAGAAACAATATACATTTTTTTTATTTTAAAGAAAATTCAGATTGAACATAGTAAAAAACTGTAAATTATAGTTTTTTTTTTTAACTTTTTAACTTATAGTGAAAACCACCCTTGGATGATAGGTTAGTAGACTAAAAGCTTTAGGAATCCAAAGTACAACATATAATAAGTACCCTGTATCAATATTGATGCAAAACAAGTGACATTTGACCTTTTTAGAGAGGTTTAGTAAAAAAGACTCCACCTCTGGGGTCATTTGGGTGGAAATGGGCGTATTTGCCGTTTCTCTCGAACCCATTGGTCGATTTTGATGATTGACATCTCTTTTGAACCGTTAGAGCCAATAGAACGTGTGTGTGTATGTGTGTCCACATACACACACACGTTACCATTGAGAAATAAGAGCTATGCGCACGCAGTTTGCCCAAAGCGAAACCTAATTTACGCTCTGAAATCTGAAAATTTAAAACTAGGTTTATTGCTGATGGATTATCAGAAATCATTTCAAAGTGACACAGACACATTGGATTAACCTATGGATTAACCTTCAGCAGCGTTTTTATCATTTTAATGCCATTGAAGACAACTTTTGATCAGACAACAACAAAGGTAAGACATATTGCCGTGTTGGCTACCTAATGCCACGTGTTGTGATGTCTGTTTTTGTTTCTCATGTCGCGAGTTCTGATCATGGAGTGATGATACAGATACCTATCGAATCTGTGTAATCTCACGATGCTAATCGATGGGTTGGATGTGCAGTTACGATAAGTAATAAGGGTGTTATACCGTGAGTTCTGTGCTAACGGCGTTAGCATTTTTTCGCTCAGGGCTAATTCAGAGGCTCAGCGTTAGTCTTGTGGTTTTTTTTGCTAAAAAAAAAAAAAATCATCAGTTAGCTGAGTTTCTTCCCGTTACATGGATATGAAACATTCATAGTTTATTCAATCTTAAGAAGCCCTCAGACACTGTTGCTTGCAGATGTTGTGGTTTCGGACCCGCCGAAGGGTCCGTGGGGCTTAACAGGAGTAGATAAAGCTATGGGAATTCTAAAGAAATTAGGAATTCCTTATTTTTCCAGTATGGGTTCAGAATGAAAAGTATGTGTGTCTATTGCAATAGTCACTGTGTTAGATAAGGCGATTTTAGAGTAATACAATGTTAAAAAGCGTGACTTGACTACACAACCAATCAAATCCTTCCGTCTTTCATGACATCATCGGTAAAAACAGAACTGGGTACTAGATTACTTGAATTTAAAAAGTAGCTGTGAGCAGTGGTGTAAAGTAACTAAGTACATTTATTAAGTAAGTACAATTTGAGATACTTGTACTTTACTTGAGTATTTCAATGTTCTGCTACTTTGTACTTCTACTCGACTACAATTCAGAGGTTAATCGTGTACTTTTACTCCACTACATTTATTTAATACCTTTAGTAACCTACAGATTTGGATTAATTATAACCAACCGTTAAATCAGACTTTAGTTAGACCTGGAGTAAATTCACAAGCTACCCTGCTTTATACAAAGTCATTCAAACTAGCTGCACCTTTACCAGCTTTGATAACACTTTAATTATCAATAATTATAATCAACATATATAATATATATTATTCTAAAATGGACCAATCTGCTTAATTATTACCTTTACTTTTGGTAGTTTGAGTATATTTTGATGCCAATACTTTTGTTTTTTTACTTGAGTTACAAGCCTTTTACTTGTAACAGAGTATTCCTACACTCCGGTACTATACTTTTACAGTACAAAATCTGAGGACTTCTTCCACCTCTGGCTGTGAGTGTGATGCAGCTGGGTTGTGTTAAAAAGCCTAAATGAAGGATGAAAATATGACTGTGACCTATCACAATAGCTTCTTTCTCATCAGTGATCTTAGCTTCTCCATGTTTGCAGTTGAACAGAGCTATTGGTCAAACTCACGTTGTGAGGGAAAACATCGAAGCAATTGTTTGCCGCAGCTGATGACTGTTGGCAGTGCAGATCCGGGCCGACACCCTGCGACTGGCAGAGAGTCCTTTCTACGCTTTGTTATGTTCCCGCTTCCAGCTAGAATACTTAACAAAATATTTAATAATGAATAACAGGAACATGTGCAAAAGTAAGTGTAAGTAATCTACTGATAGTGCAGTATACAGTTCAAATGTGATGCTACTATTCATATTTAGACATTAATACATTCATCCTTTATTCATACTTGGACAAAAATAAAGAAAAGGTAAAACCAAACAATTACAACCAGCAATACTAGCAGAGAACAGGCAAAAACCATTATAACCTTAAAGGTCCCATGTCATGCTTTTCCGGTTATTACCCGTCCCCTTGTGTGTTATGAAGGTTTTTATGCATGTAAACGGTCTGCAAAGTCACAAACCCTCAAAGTACACCCTGTAGGGAGTAAAACTCTAACACAGTCTATGCAGCCCCAAAACGCCTCGTTGGAGATTTCTCATTTTCCATCATTTTCTTCCTGGGTACTCTGACGTGGGGATACCCAGAGGCCACACCCTCTGCCAGCCTTTCACGAAACAAAGCTTCCCAAACCTTTCAGCGATTCATACCGGATATGCACAGCGTAGGGCACTGAAGAACGATGCTGTTCCTACTTTGTTTGGACCAGCGGGAGATTCGGGTACACAACCTGTAAGTATTCATTGTTGTTTGTGTATTTATGATGTTTAAAACAAACAAGGTATCTACCACGACTGTTTAAATGGGTAAACGTTTTTCGGGCTACTACATTGGGATCGCGGAGAAATGATCTCCGCAGACCCATTCTCACAGCGTTATAAACCTTTTTCTTACTCAATATCAAGCCACACTTATTGTTTTTACTTCGGCTGTGAGTGTTTGTGTGTGCTCAGGATGAGTTTCGCTTGTTCTCGCTGTATCGCCGACCCGGAAGCCTGTCTGCTACTCGCAGCAGCTGCGATCAGCAACGAGCCTCTCAACGTCCCGACCATCAGACCATCAGATCAGAGCACACTGGGCTCACAGGGAGGGGGGGGGGGGGGGGGGGGGGGGGGCCGGAGCTCCAACAAGCCGTTTAGGACAGAGAGTGAATACCGGTGAATACACATACTATACAGAGATGCTGTATGAGAAACCAATGTGAGTTTGGAAAATTGCACAATATACATCTATTTTAGTATACCTCAACAATGGAATTATGATCAGTAGAAATGGCCATGACATGGGACCTTTAAAATAAAACTTTGCAATAATAGAAAAAAAATGAATAGATGCATTGAAATGATTAAAATGTAAAATTAAATACAGTTGTGTAAAACCATTAATAATTACAGGTTTAGAAGCTCATGATCACATTGATTTTGAGGAGGTGTTCTATTTCTTTTTTTTTATTGGCCCTCTCACGAAAACTTCCACTCATTCCTTCAGGTTTACTTTGACAGAGGAGTATTTTTTAACGTGGCCTGCAGAGCGATGGGGTTCTCATATGTGGAAGCATCAGGATGGGGCATCATTTCAGACTGCCGATGCTTGTTGAGAGAAAAAAGATTGGAAAGAAAAAATAAACATTAGAGAATAAGAAAACACATACAATTATATTAAACTACACACTGTAATTTAAATGTATTGAAAACTTTTCAAAACATTAGTATCTCCAGAAGGACAACCAGCTTGTCCATGTCTGCTTCTTCCCTGCAACCCTAACCTGTGAGTCATTCATTACCTGACCCAATCTCACACACACACACACACACACACACACACACACACACACACACACACACACACACACACACACACACACACACACACACACACACACACACACACACACACACACACACACACAGCTGGTCCCACAGGGCGTTCTGACTCCCACCTCTTAAAAACTGCCAGCATGGCCATCGCCCTTCGTGGTAATGTGGCAATCCACATATCCATTTAGCAGCTGTTTTACATATTTATTTTTTACATAATTTTTGTAAATATATTGCACATACCTGGAGTTGTTCATAGTCAGAGGCGACACTGCAGGACCTCATATTAGTGTAGGTGTGTTCTCCCTTCACTTCAATCATCTGAAAAAATGCAAAATATAAAGAACTCGTATTATGACACAGCCCCTTCCTTTATATTCATGATGTTAAAGGCAATTACATTTGTTTGGAACAAGATATGACATTGACAGCCAAGATAGACACACAAATTAAATATATTTAAATTGGTAGGTTAGTTGAGTAAAAAAGGCGGAATAAACAACACTCACGGCAGCATCAGATTTTCTTTCATTGAATATGATCCGTATTTCAGGATGTGAGAGTAATATTGGATCCCAAAACTGAATAACACTATGTAATGTCAGAGAGTGGCTCAAACATCTCCAGTAGTTGTTGAATTTAAGTTATTCTTTTGTAAACATGTGGTAAAATATTTGTCTTATTAGGAAACTGATTATCTCATGCATGAAGCACATGCAGTATAAATATTTGCCCTTCATGACGTTGTACCCTTGTGCTTTCAAAAATCAATTGGACCCAAATTGTTTATTTTGTGAACGCTGCAGGGCAGAGACTCCGTTTTAAAAAATGTTTAAAGATGAGTCAGACTGACTTCTTCAGTCAAACAGAGAAGGATGTCAGCGAGACGAGACAGTGACTAGACTGTGACACGCAGAGGTTTTCAAAATCCTTATCAGATCTATCGCATTAGTGCGGTGCAGGGGGTAATTTTTCACTGTCTCCTTTTCGAACTGCCTGTCACTTTCTCAGTTTGAGTTAAGTTTCCGCTTACCTTCAGCCTGCGGGATATACTGAGGACGAGAGGAAAAACAAACACAGAGGAACTGTTAGCTGAAGGAGGACATTTTTCTTTAACACCAGCATTTTATGTTTTTAAGAACTGGAAATGTCTTATAATTCAAACTAAATCTTGATTCTTATTTAATCATTACTTGAACCTTAAATAAAGCATACGAAAATAAATGTATGGAGAAACTTTATTTACAATATTACCAAGTAAAAACAATAATAAACATAGAATCAAAGGCACCAAGAAACACAAAAATCGCAATTTTTTTTGAAGGGGGGAATAGGATGAATTTAATACAAATTACACTAAGGATTAAAGTGATGTAAGCTTTAGATTGCTCTTGTAGATTCTTACCCTCGATACTTGTACACATCTACAACAACAGTCATAATGTAGAGGAGCAGCAATACTCCACATATAGTGTAGGGTAAAACAACACCCTCGATCCTGCCTGAAAAACAAGATTAACACATAACAGAAAAACACATTTTATAATACATCCTATATTGTAAAACGGGAGATTTTCATGTCTTTTCTATAATAATATTTTTATCATAATACAATATATAAATACTGAGAAAGTATCAATACACTAAAGCTCCCTCCCATACATGGATGTATAAAGAGAAGTGGATACAGCGTCAGAGGCCCTGTCCATTCCTTTCAGAGTTGCTCAGTTGCGCAACAAGCCCAAATCGAGCGACTGTAGATCCAAAAAGTACCTGGGCACTGAGAGCATGGGCACTTGAGATTTCCCCTTTAAGCCCCGCCTCCGATCTCCTGCTGTCGGCTCAGTCAAATTGAATGGAGAGGGGAAATAACTTTGGTGCATTTTACAACTTTTATACCCTAATGATTTAAATGAGGGCTATAAAAGTGAGTCAGTGTGAAATATTTTTGGGCCAAAATGACATCAGGCACTAGAAAGTAAGTAAAGTACCACAGGTTGCTTCAATGGCTGGCGCTCTTCCTTGGGGCCTTGACCCCATATTGAAAAATGTTGCATTCAAGCAAGCTTCCCTTTTTTTTAAAGTTTTAATGTCAAAACAATACTATTTATGGTAAGAAAGTTCAGCTACAGTGCCATACAGTCATTCCCAACTGGAATGACGATGCAAAGACATCAAGGGTGCAGATAAAGAAGACCCCTAATCACCAACTAATCAGAACAGGATGTATATCTTTGGCTGGGGGGCTTCATTAATTTCTATATTTATCTATCGGTTATTTACAGATATCCGATTGCAAGTATCATAGTTTTTTTATAGTGACGCTCAATTGCAACCCCTGTCCCTTGAAAGAATTTCGTGAAACTAGGAAATGACTTAAAGAGACAGGCGCTGAAATGGAGGATTTCAGACAGAGGTTGAATACATGTAAATGAAACAGTATGTATGAGGAAAAATAAGAAAAGATTAAAGCATGTAAACATGTTCTTGTAGAAACCCAAAATACAACTGTCATCGTAAAGAAAAGCATGATATGTCACCTTTAAGAGTACAAAATTAAAGAGATAACTGTTTTTTCAGTACAAGTGAACTGTTACATTTTTTTTTCCAGCTTGTGATGTACAAAAGGAGAAGAGTAGGAGCATTAGCACGAGGAAGCAGTATATAGTGTTATAGCTCTAGGTTTACCTGTGGTGGTTTTGACCTCCAGAGATACAGGTCTGGACCTCTGAGAGGCCATCGGACTTTGAGCCTCACACAGATACAACCCGCTGTCCGTCTGGCTGACCTGCAGGACCAGCTTTTCTCCTTTACCAATCTTAGTCAGCTGTGATGAGGAGAGGCGATAAAAACTCAGGTCAGAACTAGGGGTGTAACGGTATCCGTATTCGTCCCGAACCGTCACGTTTCGGACGTCACGGACATGCAGTCACACGACGAATACGCCTTTTTTTACGAGTGGGAAAAAAGTCTGTCACTCAGCAGTATCCATTACACTATATATAATCCAGGGGGCGGTATTGCGCCTAAAAGCTGTTTGCCAGCTGCCCTTACGGCCCGTTCACACGGCGGCCTGCGTTGAAGCTTCAACGCTTCTTCCCATTCACTTTGAATGGGTGTAACCCCACGCTTTCCCGAACTGCATTGTGGTTCCGTCGCTTCGCTTTGCTCGCGTTGCTCGCTTCAAAAGTTGAGAACATTTTTTGAAGCTTCGACGGAAGCGTCAGCCAATCAAATCATATGCCAGTACAAGCTCTAGCCAATCAAACCGCGTGCTTGTGTGTCCGGGGCGGGAGATTCATGTGATTGGTTGTTGGTCGTGTTTCAGACACGCCGGCCCGCAAGCTTCAACGCACGCTGCCGCGTGGACCCTGCGTTAAACAACAAATGAAGAACAAGAAGAAAACACAACAAAACGAACAAAATACAAGAAGAAGAAAAGTTAGTAAGGCTATTTCAGATAACACACAGGAGACCCACCTGCTTCGTTTAAATCAGCTGTGTGGGAACATTTCGGGTTCCCTGTGGACTACAACAACGATGGAGTGCGAGTGGTGGACCGGACGAGGACGGTGTGTCGTGTTGGCGTTGTTCGACAGCGGTGCGGTATGCTAATGGTAACACACGCCAAACATGCTAAATCATATCAGAAGGCTTCACCCAGATTTGCCAATCACCGGAGCCCGGCAAAAGACAACAGCAGTTCAACAGCTTATCCCCACTGTTTTTAAGAAGCCAATAGACATGAAAGCCGAGAGACCAAAATAAATAACGGAAGCTATTGGCATATATATTTCAACGGCAATGCGCCCTTGAAACACTTTCTTATCATTTCATATGTAATATTTTCAAGACATTCTTTTTAGTTTTACAGCTTGATGAAACCTTGTTGTTTGACATCAGCCATTATAGATAATATGGCCATCTGAGTGTGCGTGGTACTGTTTGTGGTTTGTTTTTAACTTTGTAATTAATTATTCAAAATGTTAGAGTTCCTTATTTGTATACTGAAACTTGCACTACTGTTCAAAAATAAATAACAACAAACCTGGAATTATGCATTTGGGACTTTTTTTTGCTTTTTCTTGTTGTACCGAACCTGTACCGAACCGTGACCCCCAAACCGAGGTACGTACCGAACCGTGAATTCTGTGAACCGTTACGGCCCGTCCACACAGCGGCGTGCGTTGTCGCTTGCCGGCGGGCATGTCTGAAGCTAGACCAACAACCAATCACCTGAATCTCCCGCCCCGGACACACAAGCAGCGGTTTGATTGGCTAGAGCTTGTACTGGCATATGATTCGATTGGCTGACGCTTCCATCGAAGCTTCAAAAGTTGAACATTGCTCAACTTTTGCAGCGAGCAACATGAGCAAAGCTACGCTTCGCTCCCACAATGCAGTTCGGCGAAGCGTGACGTCACCCCATTCAAAGTGAATGGGCTGAAGCGTTGAAGCTTTAACGCATGCCGCTGTGTGGATGGGCCGTTACACCCCTAGTCAGAACAGTTTTTAAAACATAACCATAACCATAACCCTAACCCCTGTAGTGTTTTGATTAATAAATGTGTGCCTTCAACAGGAGATTAAGTAGGTGTTGTGTTGACCCATGATTGCCGGGAATTAATGTGCAAAATCAAAAGATCCAAGCAGAACTTTGTGTTACAACAGACATGTACTGTATGTATGAATAGATGTGTTTGGACATCTTAAAATAAAGTGCTGTGAATTTATCAGATTTTCCCTATACAATTATTTTTGCCAAATTATTTCACAATTCCTTTTGATTACTGTTATTGTTATACATGTGAAAAAATTGAAACAATTTCAATACTGTCACGTCAATTTTTTATGGAAAGCAGAGCTGGTGTGTTCTGAAATGCAAGAGAGTACAGTTCACTTTGAACATTAAGACTTCAATTTAACAAATATCCAGGGAAGGCAAGGCAAGCAGAACGTTGTGTTACAACATACAAGAATCCCACAGAGACTGAACAAAAACCAGGACTTAAATACAAGCAGAGCTGAGGAGGAGTGCAGGTGTGCAGGAGGTCAGGTGGTTGTAGGGCTAAAGGGGAACAGGGGAACTAATAAAGCGCGGAGAGATGATCAGACGGGAAAACACACAATGACAGGAAGTAAAAACAGACAGTGGGTGTTTCTCAATTGCGAGTAAAGCTGCTGCAGAGCCACTATTTCAAGCATACTACGTCATCGAGTGCCGCCGAAGTACTGTTCCAATCTCCAGCATACTTGGAAATCTACCGAGCCCGGCGTACTCCGTTTGGAGAAATATCGAGGCTGCACATGAGTAGACTCCGCGGTCTTAAAATCCCCACAATGCTTTGCGCACGGACCAATTTCCCCAAATCTGTGGCGGAAGATGTAAGGCGGGGCCTCTCATATGACGCACACCTGCACACTTGCTAGCCTGTTCCACTCTTTGTTTTCCGAATGGCAGGAAGTATTCTTGACTCGCTTCTGAAGCAAGATGCTTGGCAGACATGTGCTACCAAGCAAGCGTACTCGCGATTGAGAAACACCCTGTGTTTTTACTAAATAAAACAAGAAATAGAAGCGTACACACAAAAAGATACCATGGCAAAACTCAGCTTTGTTTATTGTGCGCTTTTTGGGGGGAAATGAAAAACGTTTTTATGTATGTGGCGTTAGGGAAGGAAGGATGCAAAACGAGAACATAAAGAAAGGGAAATTATTTCAGAGGCACTGCATTATTTACACAATATTATCATGTGTTCATTACTAACGCAACATGAAGACCCCATCAAGAGCCTTGTTTCAAATGTGACGATGAACTGTACACTAAATATCCAGAAAACGATCTGAAGAGCATTGTCCGTTATACTTGTTTCGGGCACTTATACCCCTTTTTCGATAAAAGCGGTTCAAGGGCTGATTCGGAGCCAGTGCCAAATTGCGAACCAGTTCTTAATTTTTTAATGCAACAGCTGGGTCAAACCGAGAACCACATAAGTGGCAAGCTGGGGCAAGAATAATCTGAGCAACAACAATAAATGGCAAGTAGACTACGGCAAAGAGTAGAATGTTTTTACAGAAGCAATTGTGCTGAGATTGCAAAGTGACTAGAATGAGGCCTCACACATACAACGTCATGCTACATTAACCAGGTATGCTTGAGCGGTGGTTATGCTAAAATAATCCATGTTATACAAGAGAAACGTTATTTACGGCGCTATGTTGCCGAACATTTGTAATTCAAACTAAAACAAATATTCACCAGCTGAACCAAACTAGCACCAGCACAGGACTACAACCAAACTGATGTTCAGTAAAAAGAGGTCATATAATTTGTTTAATGAATATGATCATACACGTATAAAATGTTGCCTAACAAGTAATAAATCAAATCAAATAAAGTAAACTAGTACCTTTCCACAGTCGTCTCTGTACCAGGTGTAGAGGCTCACAGGGGGGTTGGCCTCACTGAAGCATGTGAGTGTCACAGATTGGCCCTCAAACACAGGGGCAGAGTTGCTGACGGTTGCCACGGTGTCTTTAGGACCATCTGTTGGGAAACAGACAGTGATATCTGGTGTTAAAATAATAGTTTGCAAAAAAATTATCAGACTGTCTCGGAAAGTATCTTTACTGTAGTAATGTAAGTACAGTTCTGAGGTATTCCATCATCTACTTATACTTCACTTCACTACGTTAACTTGATTTGAATTTGAATTCACTAGATAATGAAACATGAAAGCAACAGCATTAATAAGTAATGTTATAGGTTTGGATAAGAGAAGACTTTGTAAACTTCACAAACGACCCACTTCTTAGTAAATAACATGATAGCACCTACTTCCCCAGCTGCACTGTAATGTACAATAATAAATCATCAATAAGCGTATAAATGTTCAGAAATGGGCCATTGTGAAAAATGAGTTGTTTTGCTTTGTGATGCTGATACTTCTGAATGAACTACTTTCAATTGTGCTTATACACACTATTTCTACTTTAATTTAGGTCAGTTCTGAGCTCCTCTAACACACAGTACCACTGCCTGCCGTACAGTAACAAAGGCACCTTGTCATGTTGCAGCCATATAGTTTACTGTTAATTACTTCTGTCAAAACCAAGCTAAGACTTGTTCAGCTCTTTAAACACTGACAGCTTTAAAACAAAACTTCCGTCTGTACATGAAAATAAAATCCCCTTCAGGTCAAGTGAGTAAAAGTCATGTTGAAACAAGTCAGCTGTATTCCCATACCACGCTCTGCTGTCTCTCACACAGCTAAATGGTCAATAAATCAGTGTCAGTTTGTTCATAATGAGGGGGGTAGGAAGAAGAAGGAAGGGAAGAGGAACTTGTTAAATGTGTCAGTGAGTATAATAATGTATACATCTGTCCATAATGGTTATTATCCAGAGATTCAAAGAGAAAAAAGGGACTTCTTTCAGTGAGTGTACCAGACTAATTATATTTGTAAAAATACTTTTTGCACATTTCATTCTGAGGAAGTGGTTTCCACAATTTAGTTAAGTCAAAGCAATATTTGTTATATAGACATAGATAGACAGGTTTGTTTATACCTCAAATCAGTTGCAGAAAGTAAAGTACAATTTTGATGTACTCTTACTTTACCTATTTCCATTTCCTGCTACTTTATACCTCAACTCTACAACAATTCAGAGTTCAGAAACAATTCAAGTTACCTGTTACAAATAGATTATAAAAACAAATCAATCGACAAATGATGTGATATAGATATGATATGATTATGAAATATGATATGTTGTTATAGATTAGGCTGCAATGTATATAATGTGAGTATATAATCAGCTGCAACATTAGCGTAAAAGGCACCAAACCACTGCTTACTACAGTTAATCTGATATGGGCCATTGTGCATAATGAATACTTTGAGTTTTTGTACATTTTATTGATAATACCGTTGTCATTTTACTTGAAGGGGCGCTATTTTGCTGTAGGGATTTTCCCTTTCCTGTAGTGTGTTATAAAGGTTTTTGTGCATGTAAATGGTCTGCAAAGGCTAACATCCCAAAGTTCCCTAAAGAGGGAGTTTCTCTCCCACACACTACAGCCCTCAGCAGTGGTTGAAGAAGCATTCAGATGTATAAGTAAAAGTAACAACAATTATTTCATTATTATCATCTACAGTAAGTACCTCAAAAGTTTACTTAAAGTGTATTTCCACCACAGACTCTTCTGACTTCTCCTGTTTGTATTTCCTCCTGTGGAACAGTAATATCTTTTATGTGTGCAATTTTAGTAAATTGGTTATTAATGTTATAACAGATCATCCTCTGCATGAAACATTGTTTACCCTACACTTCTCAGAGAGGTTTTTGAACTCTCCTCTTCTTTTAATTTAAGGACATTTTGGGTTAACTATTGTAGTCCCTAAACAGATTGGATAATACACAGTGAGTGTCTCACACAGGACGCTGAGTCTCTGAGAGGTTGCAGACGAGCGGCTGCTGCCCCCTGCTGTCAGCGGGTAGGTCACAGAACAGGAGAAGCTTTGGTTGTTGTGGTGCGCTGCAGCACTGAAGGTCAGCGTGGTCATCATGATCATCTGTCCATCGTCTAAACTCTGGCAAAACAGAGAGGAATCACCTAATTACTGACATGTTGTCAAGAGGGTGTCGATCAATTTTTGACTAATAAGAATCTGTTAAATATTACAAATATTTTATCAAAATACACTAGATAAAAGGGATCACAATTAAGATACTGTAAAATAATGTTGCATCGAGAGAGCAATGGAGCTCATTTTAACTCTAGATATACAGTTTGGTAGTCTAATCTTTAATTTCATAATCAAATGTTGTGTTTTTTTTATTTCTGTCTTAATGTTGAAGCAATGTGTGACTACATTTGTAAAATAAAATTAGTAAAGTAAACAAGTGAGACATTTCCGTCCTAAATGTAGGAAGAAGCAGAGGTGGAGTATCAAATAAACATACTAAATAAAAAAACAAATATATGTATTCGAATAATAAGACTGGAAGTGTATGATTAAATGCTTTACCTATTGTGAACACATACCAAAGTCATTAACCAATGTATTAGTGGAAAGAAATGTTATATATTTGATGTATTTTATATTTACCGATCATTTTCCAAAATATATATCTTTTTTAATGAGTGATAAATAAGATCTTAAGATAGTTACATTTTTCATTTTTGTAAAAAAAATATTAAACTAATTAATAAATCCTACTGTTCTACTGATTTACATTATGACTTAATAACATGAACACGCACATTGTAGTTTTCTATTAAAAAAAAATCCCAACAAATGCATTAATTTCTCCGGTGACATTTTTCTAAACATGCTTAGCTTTTCTTTTTTTTTAAATGATTGTGCCCTCTGTGGCTCACAGCCCCAAGACATACAATATTTCAAGGTGATTCTTTGACTTTGGCAAAAATATAGAATAACGTCAACCTCATTGTGTAGGCGGGCTATGATACATAAGTAGCCTGAATGTGTAAAGTATGATATACAACACTGTGAATAAATGAATCCATGAATAACTGATCACCTGCATTTGTGTAGACTTTTGACTAGAGTTGTCTACGGGTGACCAGGTGATGGAGGGGGGCATGTTGTGGCAGGGCACCGGGACTGAACACTGCAGCCTGACCTGGGCCCCCTCTGACACCTGACCCCCAGAGGACAACAGGGAGGGGGGGAGATCTGTCCAGCAAGAATCAGATGTGAAATATCACAGGTAACAAAGAAACAGGCAGAGCTACATCACTGTAATAGTTGATGAATGCTCCACAACAAAACGTTTCTGTTACCATCACTCAAAGTTATTGGTCAGATGTACATCTCAAGTTAAGACAGAAGGACCACAATTAACCATTTTCAACTGCCTGTGTTCCTTTCATCCATTCATACCTGGTTGGGCATTAATTGTCACTCCATTACCGAAACTGTACTTTGTGAGTCTCGCACACTCAAGCCTGAAGAAGTACTTGTCGTTGTTGTCCTGTCGGAAGCCATGGAAGGTTGTAGTGCAGTTCTTCTTTGTGACGTCCCCTGTTATTTCCCCCTTGCAGTAGAAAACGTTGTTTACATTTTTGTGATGGTCAGAAGTTTCCATAGATACCAAAATACCAAATATGTGTTATTTGATTGGATCACAACTGCCGTTACGCCAATTTGGTAATTTGGGTGTAGAGTGGGGGCTAGGACCACGCTTATCTTGAATCCCAACCTTCATTATGATCTCTACTACACACCTGTGAAGTTCCGTGATTGCATCTTGAATGGATACCTCGCCATGGCTTTGACAAATTCTGTCCACACACACACAAACTAACAAGTTGCAAATAATAGAGGCTGGTACAAAAAGAAGACCTACTTGTATGAGGTTCAATTGAGGAGTGTGTGCTATGAAGACCTCAGGACCAATCGTTGATCCTTTCTTCCAAACAACACCCTTTGAGCAGTTGAGGATGTTTGCCTCCTCATTGCTTGGGATCGTGAAACGGCATGGAATTGTGACACAGGAGTCATTGATGACCAAGATAGTTTTAGGCAGAATCACCGCCCAAGTTGGACAAGAGACGCCTAGAGGGGCAAATTGAATGTCTTTAAAGTGCAGATTATCAGGACAAACAATGAACATAGCCTACTCTCTACCAAAGTATTTCCTATTTCATTCAATTTCATTTTAATAATTTACTGGCCCAGGCTCAGAAGGAAGCTTTCATTGGAGTGGAAAAAGACAATCAAATACAAACTATACTTCCACCTTTTATAATAGCAATCAGGGAACTACTGACCTTGCATCAGAGCGATGAGCAAAGTGACAACTGCCAAACCAACGCCCATTGCAGCTGAATGAGACAAAGAGTTTATATCCAGGATAACTATTGAACATAAAAGAATAAAGAGAGAGAGCCAATGCCAGTGAAAAATAAACATCATAGAGAAATCATTTGCCACTGATTTCCACAAGAATATTGTCTTCACAACACTTTGACTTAATCAATAAAAGTAATTATATGTTTAGTATTAAGGTATTATTAAAGTAAAAAAAATTGTATTCAGGAAACCCAAATCCCCACTTTAAACCATTCAATGATTTTAGACAAAACAAAAACTTTATTTTTACCTGCCGAGTGATGTTGAGCAGACTTCTGTGGTTTTGTGAATGTGATTGTAATTGTAATGTGGAAGAGGAATGTATATGTTAAAAAAGGAAGTGTTGCAATCAGGAAATTGTAGCATCTGAACTTCTGAACTTCTGTATTCTGTTTTATGTGGTAACATCTCGAATGTGTGTGTTGTGTTGGAGGAATGAGGTTTAGTTCTATCAAACAGCACAGTGTGATGGATATATTCTGCTTTTGATGTTGTTTCAATAAATCACTTACCTTTAGGGGCATCTATTCAGCTATAAACTCAAAGCTCACACTGCTGGCATGGTGACCTGCTCAATCGAAATCAGTCGCATTGACCCGAAGACACATTTTGAGTTGCATACACTGTTGGAAAGAGGAGACTCCTAGCTTTCTAATGATATCAGGATTGTTTTTGTACTCCAAATATTAAGCAAAATATGTCACATTATATAATGACTGTCACCGAGTCATCATTTTGAGAAAAAGGCCTTTAAAGTTTCCTCTTCTCTGGAATCCATCGATCTGATTGATTATTAGCGGAGCAAATGCTAAAAATACTACTGAGGGAAGATATTTTCGTTTGGATTACTGGTCTGGGGGAAGCTCGCGAGTGTGTGTGTGTACGTGTGTGTGTGTTTGTGTAATTTTGCGTTTGTGTGTATTGTGTTTGTTTCCCGGGGAAAACACTCACGAGAAACACCGGCTGTTGTTGTGCCTGCTGTGACGTCAAGTTACTCAGTTCTCCGCTTGTAATTATGCCGTTACAAGCTTCAAAGTTGTATTTATCATCTGACTTTGCCGAAACAAGTTTAATATTCTGAAAGCCAAGACTTTGTTTAATTGAAATCAGATGAAAACAAACTGTGACCCTGCCGTGTTATCTATGATTACTATACGCCTTACATTCATAATTTCAGCGGAGGGAGGGGAAGCAGCGCTGCGGAACAGCAGAGTGGCGAGTGAGAGCTGTCATCTTCCCTTTACAAGCTTCAAAAATGTATTTATCGTGTGATTTTGGAAATAAAAGTTTCATATTCTGAAAGCCAACACTTTGTTTATTTAAAATCAAACAAAACACCCGAACCCCGAAAAAAAATTTTTTTACGCAAATCCACGTTTATTTTGAAATGAGCCGTTGCGACTTCCGACTGATTTCGATAGAGCGGGTCAATTTTTAGCCAGTATAAAGTCTACCATGTTCACTGTGTTAGCAGGTTAGCATGCTAACATGTGCTCAACAAACACAAAGTACAACTGAGGATAATCTGAATGGTTTTGGAGATATTTGAAAAAAATGTGTTCACTCATGGTGGCATTTCTGTAAAAAGTCACCAAAGTAAGTCCAATGCGAATTTTGAATGTCTGTTGGCCTACACATGTTGTGCTAATTCATTCAGCAGATGCTAAGGTAAGTGAAACATTTCAAGGGCACTAGAGAAAAAGTCAGGAGATCCCCATAGCCATTAATGTTCCTCCTCTAGCCATGGTGTATATCTGTACCAAACTTCATTAAAGGTAGGGTAGGTAAGTTTGAGAAACCGGCTCGAGATCGATAGAATTTGAAAATACACAACCGGAGAAAATCTGCCACTTCCTTATAAAGCCCCTCCTCCAACACACATGAACGCGCACATGACCAATGAGGGCACGAGATAAGTTTGTGCATAGATAGAAGGCTGACAGGCAGGTAGGCCATCCAGTTATTTTAGCCGGGCGGGCCCTACCTTTAAATGCAATAGATGAGATATTTGGGTGGAGTGGACCAAAAGACCAAAGCATTGTCACGCTGTTAAGATGGGTACAAAGTGGAGAAAGATAGACTTAAATGCAATCAAACTTGATTAGACCTGACCTGAGCAGTATGTCTTTTTCCCTTTTTGTGTACACTAGAAAGGTTTTAGCAAGGCTCCGAAACTGGAATGTAACAATGAAACAACTTCCCTTTGTGCCACTAGAAGGCAGCATAAGCATGAAAACCAGATGCTTCAAATTACAGACGCCAGAGTGCAGCATTTTTGTTTTATACACATATGCAACCCTTACTAATCTCTGCACTTATTTGTGAGCGCTATAATCAACATTATATTAATTGTCCCAAACAATAAAGCTTACACTCACCCTTACTATGATTTTAATTTAATCCAAATCCTAAAGACAAGTTGACCCCTCAAACAGCCCAATGAAGAAGTGACAACATGCCCTCAGGCTGATAGTCTAAAACTGTCATTGGTCCTTACAAAGATAGAGGTACAAGAGCCAACAAGCACTCAGACATACCACATGCAAACATATATGAACGAAAACATATGCACATGCCATGCAGTATATAAACTCCTTAATGTACTACCTAAACAATCGCATATCTTACATTTAAAAGGTGTGACACATGTTTAATGTACCCTAAACCTGTCTCCACACAAATAACTGCAGTCTTTCTTTTAAAGATGTGTTTAAAGGAAACATAAAATCCCACTTTTCTTGAATTTCTTTCCCACTAACTGATGAAGATACTTTTGTTGTGGCCTCTGTGCAACATCAGGAGATCATGAGCCCTGCCCTCAAGGAAAGGAGGAAGTGATTGATACAGATTGAAACATTTTGGAAGGCAGTGTAAGGAGGAAAAATAGGCATTTTTTTTATATTAAAATGTAAACAGTTAATTAACTACTGATGGGTGCTGTGATGCCCCTGGGTTCATCTAGATAGGGGCCGTTTCTCAATCACGAGGATGCTGGCTTGGTAGCACAGCCGAGCCGAGCATCTTGCTTCAGAAGCAAGGCAAGAATACTTCCTGCTATTCGGAAAACGAAGAGTGGAACAGGCTAGCAAGTGTGCAGGTGTGCGTCATATGAGAGGCCCCGCCTTACATCTTCCGCCACAGATTTGGGGAAATTGGTCCATGCGCAAAGCATTGTGGGGATTTTAAGGACGCGAAGTCTACCCATGTGCAGCCTCGAAATTTCCCCCAAACCAAGGACGCGGCCTCGGTGGAATTCCAAGTATGCTGGAGATTGGAACAGTCCTTCGGCGGCACTCGATGACGTAGCATCCTTGAAATATTGGCTTGGAAGCCAATATCCTCGCGATTGAGAAACGGCCAGGGTGTGGCTGTGCTGTCTTGATTACCTTCTTCTTCTTCTCTCATTTTTTGGCGGATTGCAAACAACTTAAAAGGTGCATACCGCCACCTATTGCACACAAGTATGAATCATCATATCATTCCATCTCTTTAACCTATGATCTAGGGCTGTATGAAAAACATTGTCCTTGTGTAAAGAAAATAGTGAAACAAAAATATGCTGAAAAACCATGGATCACTAAGGGAATATTAAATGCATGTAAAACGAAAAATGAATTATATAAAGACTTCTTAAAGAATAGATCAGTAGAGGCTGAACAAAAATACAAGACATGACATACAAAAACAAACTAACAAAGATAATACAATGTAGCAAAATGGATCATTACAACAAATGATTGGAGGGTAACAAAAATAACATTAAAAACACATGGAATGTATTAAATACCACTATTAAAAAAGGAAATGGAAAGGCACAATACCCAAACAGTTTTCTGTCAAAAAACGATACAGTATTTTATGACATGACCTCATGACCTTGCTGAAGAAGTACTTTGTCAATGTTGGTCCTTGTCTAGCTGGGGAAATTCCAAATACTGGTAGTAGTGAAGGTGTAGAAAGTAAAGATATATATGTGAAGGAAACTATATTCTTAAGAGGGACTGATGAAAATGAAATTATTGACACAGTTAAAAAACTTAAGAGTAAAAGGTCTACAGACCGTCATGATATTGACATGTATACAGTTAAAAACATTATTGAATGTATAGCCAAACCACTAACTCACATCTGTAATCAGTCAATACAAACCGGTGTATTTCCAAATAAAATGAAAACTGCTAAAGTCATACCAATACATAAATCTGGAGATAAACATGTACTGTCAAACTATAGACCAATTTCATTGCTCTCACAGTTTTCTAAAATACTGGAAAAAATCTACTATACAAGACTAAATGACTTCATCACCAAACATAACATACTCTATGAACAACAATATGGTTTTAGAGCAAACAGAAGCACATCATTTGCAGTTATATAATTTATGGAACACATTACTAAGGCAAAAGAAAAGAAAGAATATGCAATAGGGATATTTCTGGACCTTAAAAAAGCATTTGACACGGTTGACCATGAATTATTAATAAAAAAACTACAGAGATATGGCATTAGAGGTGTTGCACTATCAAGGCTATCCATCTACCTACATAACAGGGAACAGTACGTTGAACTACTAAGCCATAAATCACAACTACTGCAGGTTACATGTGGGGTGCCTCAGGGCTCAGTCTTGGGGCTATTACTATTTATTCTGTATATTAACAATATATGTGAAGTATCAAAAACTATTAAAACCATTCTTTTTGCAGACGACACAAGTCTACTCTGCTGTGGGGACAATTTAGAACAGCTATTGCTCACAATGGAAAAGGAACTGAGCAGGATGAAGATCTGGTTTGACCAAAATAAATTAACATTGAACGCAAGCAAAACCAAACTCATAATATTTGGGAATCGATCGACCAATACAGAGAAGAAACTCACTATAAATGGCGTCCAACTAGAAAGAGTATCGGAAATCAAATTCCTTGGAGTAATCATAGACAATAAATTAAGTTGGAAACCACATATAAGTTATATCAAAGCCAAAATATCCAAAATCAATAGCAATTCTGAATAAAGCCAAATACCTAATTAATCAAGCTTCCTTGTTTATGCTGTACTGCTCCTTCATACTTCCATACATGATGTATTGTGTGGAAGTTTGGGGGAACACATATAAAACAAATACACATCCTATCTTCATCCTGCAAAAAAGAGCCATACGAGTTATACATAAAACTTCGTACAGAGAACCAACAAATAAATTATTTATCAAACTAAAAACACTAAAACTACAAGACCTGGTTGACTATAAAACTATTCAAATTATGTTCAAAGCCGCAA